GGCTGATGGATACTTCCGTAGGCTGGTGCTGTATCTGTATCATTACTCATCAGTGGCTGATGGATACTTCCGTAGGCTGGTGTTGTAACTGTATCATTACTCATCAGTGGCTGATGGATACTTCCGTAGGCTGGTGTTGTAACTATCATTACTCATCAGTGGCTGATGGATACTTCCGTAGGCTGGTGTTGTAACTATCATTACTCATCAGTGGCTGATGGATACTTCCGTAGGCTGGTGTTGTAGCTGTATCATTACTCATCAGTGGCTGATGGATACTTCTGTAGGCTGCTGTTGTAACTATCATTACTCATCAGTGGCTAATGGATACTTCTGTAGGCTGGTGTTGAACTGTATCATTACTCATCAGTGGCTGATGGATACTTCGGTAGCTTAGTGTTATAACTGTATTGTTACACATCAGTGGCTGATGGATACTTCCGTAGGCTGGTGGTGTAATTGTATTGTTACTCATCAGTGGCTGATGGATACTTCCATAGGTTGGTGTTGTAACTGTGTCATTACTCATCACTGGTAGATAGATATTTCCATAGTTTGGTGTTGTAACTGTATTGTTACCTATCAGTGGTTGGTACATATTTCCTTAGGTTGGTGCTGTAACTGTATTGTTACCTATCAGTGGTTGGTACATATTTCCTTAGGTTGGTGCTGTAGCTGTATGATGGCTGGTTTTTTACCTGTAATATTACTTGTAATGCTTACAAAACTATCTTTTAGTTTGTTAAATGTTTGGAGAAAAAAGAAAATTTTTAAATTTAACTATATATATATATATATGTTTGTACATAATAAAGACATTTTTAGATAATACTGGTTCTTTAGGAGTATTTAAGGTTTTATGTAAAAAGCAAACATGGAATTTGAGAAGTATCATTATGAACTGATCTGCATAAAAAAATCCAAATAATTAAGAATATTAACAAGGCTATCCAAAATAAATATAAATGTTATACTTACTAATAAGTAACTTGTTTAGTATTAAATCTTTTATTATCTTAAAATCATAAATAATATTCAATGTTAAACTGGTACAATTTATTTAAGCTTATCTATGGCCTTCAAAAAGTGGACGACTCTACATGTTTCAACATTACAACGTCATAGATAGGCCTAAATAAAATGTTTTTAACTGAGTACCAGTTTAACATTGAATATTATTTATGATTTTAACTTTATACACAAGTGCCAAAATACTATAACTTTTATTATCTCTTGAACATTTATATTTGATGGCAATATGTATTGCTTATAAGAGTGGTGGACAGAGTGTAGATTTCAATATATGATTTTACTATATCTTACTTCAGCTTGTATGAATATGTTAAGCACAGAAAGTGGCTGGAGTTTGTTGATCCTTCTTGCTGAAGTTTCTGTATAAAACATAGTGTTTGTCAGGTTTCTTTTTCTGCTACATCTATGCAGTCCTCACCTTATCTTTAAACTGTGGTATGGTTATATCTTCAGAATGAGTGGCTGATATTGTTCTTGAAAAGTTTTACTGAATCTTGTATCTTTTAATGCTGCAAGATTTGATGAAGAAAGTGCAGATGGAGGTCACAAACTTCTTGAACAGGTAATAGTTTAAAACAGTTACAAATCCTAAAGCACAAATTACCTTTAAAAGGTATAATAAACAGCACTTTCATTTAGCAAGAGTTTGTCATCGTACATTGGTATTTCACTGCATGCATGTTTATTTTATTAGATTAAATGTTCCTAAATAAGGTATACTTTCTAGTAGAAATAAATATATATAAATACTTCATCAGTTCTAACTAGGTTTACCCTTTTCTAGAAGGAAACAATACTTGTATTACATTTAAAACCTTGCCAAACAACCTAAAAGAAGTTACTTGTTTTATTAATTATATGATTGATGCAATACTGTATTTAATTAGCAGGTGGTTTTTTCAGGTATTTTCCTCTGTTTATTTATAAATTTGAAACTTTTGGTACTTGATGAAACTCTAAAATTACAGAATTGAAGAAAATGGAGAGAAATATTTCATTTATTACTACCAGTTTGTAAATATGAAATAAATTAAATTTTTGGAGGTTTTTTTAAATCGTTGCATTTGCATTTTTGAAAGTTTTTTATATTTACCTAAAATATATAGCTTTTATTATAATATTAATAAATGATTTAAACACTTGATAGCATTATTTTAACACATTCTTTTTGATTTTTCCTTATCTAGGTTAGAGTTTGAAACAAGGTGTAACTAAAACGAACAACACGAGTGTTTTTTGGCATCTCACTGAAGGTTATCTCTGATGGATTTTTATTACATTATAAAAACCCAAGTTTCACAGTATGCATGTTTTCCTGAGTTTAGAGTGACATCATTGACAATCATTGCACACTTTTAAAGTATCGCAAACAAAAGACTTGCTTTGTTTTTCACTGCATATTGTCCAGTACAAAATTTCTCTTTGAATCTAACATGCTTAACACCAATTTTTAGTTACCCTTCAGTATAAAAAATTAAGTAACCTTAATTTTCTACTGACGCTGTTACTTTCTTTAATATATGAATATTTGTATGAGGTGTTTGTTGTAAATAATATTGTGATTTATTCTTTGTTGCACTGTGGGAAATTAAATTATGCTGTTATAAAATTTTTATACATTTTATTATCTATTTTGATTTGTATTATTTTTGGATAGAGATGTATAAGTAACTACAATCCCAATATCAATTTCATGTTTGTTTTTGCATTGAATTATGTCATTTATTTTAGAAAGGTTAATAAGGTTTTACTTTTGAGAAGTTTCAATGTTGAGTAAATACAGTTGCAGACAAAAAGTATTGGCACCTTACACAAAATATAAGAAAACATGTGAAACACTAGTAATTAGTGAATATTAGCCCATGATTAATGTGACGAAGACAAGATTATACTATTTCTGGTGGTTTAACAAATAATCTTCATAAAAAAAAAGGTGAAATTCAAATATTTGTTCATGAAAAAAGTATTGGAACCTTTCTTTAAAAGCCTTTAAAACCTCAATAAGACTAATTTAAAAATAAATTGATTGATTGAAAACCATTACATAGTAGAAAGTTAGTAGTGAAAAATAGTTAATGACTGCCAACAACCATTGAAGAAGTTTTTGGTAATAGAGTATATAATGGTCAAGACAAAGGAGTTGTATTCTTGCTTGAGAAAAGCACTTCTCACAGACTTACAGTCAGAACAAATTAAACTGAAAATCTTGAAAGAATTGGGATGTCCAAAGAAAATTATGGGCACAACTGATAGTAGAATCATCTGTCCAGAGTTGCATGCCTATAGAACTTACTGCAAACCACTTATAAAACCATCTAAAATTTTGTAAGACATACAAACAGGCAACTAAAGCTGGTCTGGTGAGACAAAAATAGAAATTTTTCTCAAAAATGGCCAACAATATAATTGGAGAAAAAAAAGGAAAACCTTCAATGAAGAACACCTACAGTTAAAAATAGAATGATGCTGTCTGTTCATAGGCTGATTGGTAGTAGGTTTATCTCCCAACACAACAGTGACCCAAAGCATACAGCTAAGTCAGTTCTAGAATTCTTGAAGAAATTGAACATGAAAGTGCTGGATTAGCCTTCACAATCACCAGATCTCAATCCAACAGAAATACTTTGGACTAATCTGATAAAAAAAAAGCTGTAGCCAAGCATTGTGTGTCCAATCAGTCTGAGCTGAAGGACATATATAAGATTGGAGGCTCCAATTTCTTCAACAAAATTTAATGATATATACTGTAAATGTGTGAAAGCTGTTATAAATACAAAAGAAGGAAACATGAAACAGAAGTGGCAGTACTTTTATCTTGAATACCTTAAATGAAGGTTGTTTTTTGATAGAGATTATTTTTTTTTAATTTCTATAAAATGTGTATTTTACATATTTGTTTTAATAAAAATGATTAAGGCTTATCCTTAATTTCTTACCTTCACATATGGTGTAATAAGCCAATACTTTTATCTACTACTGTACATTTTTACATTATAGTGTATCATTACATTTACTGGTGATAGTACTTATGTCTATATGTTACTTAATATTCATTTATGAGTAAAACTTTGTAAGTTGTTTGCTGTTAAAGTGAGATCATTGAAAAGTTTAGGGTTATTGTGGAGAAGAATGTGTTATTCATTAAGTAATATGGCATTTATGTGGGTTTTTGTTATATAGATATGCGTATCAGAGTTTCTTTCAACATTTCATGGGTTATAGTTTTGGCTTAAAGCATATGCATGCTTGAAAAGCATTTAAATTTTATTCTTCAAAATATTATCAACCTTGTACATACTGCTTTAACAGAACTATAGCTGGAAAGTAAAATAAATTGGGAATAAGTATATGTTCTATTCAGATAGTATGTGTTGCTGGTAAATAAACTAAACAAACGTGTTTATACATGAATTATTTCCCAGAATATCAATTAATTTATATACAGAAAGATTAGCTGATTTCTTAACTTGATGTTATCATATATTGATGAATTGTTATGCTACATAGAAAATCTTAGCTCAAAATGTTGTAGACACCAAGTTTATTTTTATGACATATTGTGTAGCTTTTGTTTTTATTTTCACATACTGTTAGCTTGTTGATAGTGTCTAATATGTACAGTGTCAGTCTTCTTTAGTATTTATGTAAAATCGTGGCAGTCAAATACTAATTACTAACAAATTTTTAATCCTACAGAGAAGTCCTCACAAGGACTGTTGGCTATAATTTGATCGTTGGTCGTTTTGGTGAAGAGTCTGGTGTGTTGTCCACTTCATTTGTAGTTCCCCCCTTTAGAACTTAAATCAGTTAATTACTTGAATGTTTTCAAGGGAGATATTCAGGTTTTGTTATAGGTTGTGTTAGGTGGTTGTAGAAGGTTTCTTTTATATTTGTTTTACTAATTTGTGGCTCATATCCCATAATTTATTTATTATTCCAATTTATCTTATGGTCTTCTCTGGCATGAATGCTATTTCAGATAAATCAGTAGTACTAAGTCTTGTATGTCCATTATACTCCTTAATTCTAACTTTGTTTGTTGTATTGTTTCTTTAATATATTAGAGTACAAAAATCACAATGGTTGTTGCACATGGTGTTTTTTTGTCTTTGTTGGGTCTTTATGTGGCTCGGTATCTGTTCTAATTGTGATTATATTATATGTGGTTTCTGAGTACTGTTCTTAATTTATGTTACTTACATATCCTCTTTTTGTTTTCAGAGAAACCTCTGACATGGGGGAATATAGTTGAATGTCTGTAATTTTCTTCTTCTTTATCAACTGTTTTGGATGTCCATTGTTAAGGAGGGTTATTATGATGTATTTCTCTTCCATCTCATTAACTTCTTTGGTATTACAGATCTTGTTCATTCTGGAAACTAGGGCTTAGCTGTGATTTATAGTGACTTCCTAGTGTTTATATTCATCATTCACTAGGATATAGCTATGACTTATAATGTTCACTAGGACTTGCTATGACTTATACTGTTCACTAGGACTTAGCTATGACTTGTACTGTTCACTAGGACTTGGCTATGACTTATAAAGTGTCTTCCTAGTGTTTATATTCATCGTTCACTAGGGCTTAGCTATGACATAAACTGTACACTAGGATGTAGCTTTGATTTATACTGTATCTTCCTAGCATTTATATCCACTGTACACTGGACTTAGCTATGATTTATTTTGTATCCTCCTAGAGTTTCTATTCACTGTACACTCAGACATAGCATTGGTTTACACTGTACACTAGGACTTAACTGTGATTTAAACTGTACACCAGCTCTTAGCTATGGATTATACTGTACACTAGGACTTAGCTGTGATTTATAAAGTATCTACTGAATAATACTGTCTTGAAGCTAGTATTAATAATGCATACTATGTCTTAGTATTGAAAGTATGTACAAGGTTGTAATTAGTGCTGATATTGTGCACTAGGTCCTAACTAGTGTTAGGATTGTGTATGTATTATGTAATTGTTCTGTGTTATTACATATGTGATATTCTTGTGGTTCATGCTGTTATTAGATTGTAGTTTAATTTTTGTTGAAGTGTCTTTATTAAATCATTTGTAGTATTAAATCATATTAGTATTTCAGGTGGTTATATCTTATTTAATCATATTTAGATAGTGTGTTCTTAGTAGAGAGACAAAATTTTATATTTAAATTTCACAAATATGGCTAATTTGTTATAGTGTAGCCAATTGATACATACTATACACCTGTTCATACTATTTCTAATAGGCCATCTTCTTATAATAAAGATTTAAGTTTTCTCTCATTACTTCCTGTCAGTTTAGGTAGTTAAATGTGTTCTAATTAAATTGTTCATTTAAGAAGTGCAGAAATGTAATGCATATTACTGTATCGATTGGAATGTAAGAACAACCATTTCTTTCTCTTAAGCCTAACAAAAATATAATGTTTATATACCCAGTTCAATGGAAGGAATAGTCTCATACATCTGGTTTTTAATGATTCCTTTTTCTTCACAGTTAGTTCCACAAAGCCAAATTAGTTTAAATATCTTGAGGTAGCATTAACTTTGGTGTTTTACATAAAGCTGAGTTAAGTGTGGTAAAATACAGTTTTTTGTAAGTCTCAAATTTAAAGTGATAACTATTCAATTAGAGATGTAAAGTTAAACTTTCAAAAAAGGTGCTTACAGAAATCAGTGCTGTGAAACTGTATTGATATATCCTTATGCCCCCTTGTTACAGTTTTTTTTTAAGTATATAACTTCCAGCTAAAGCTCTGCTTCTGCATTAGTTAACTGTGATGAGATAAGTGCTCCAGTGAATAAAGCTGTTTAGAGGTAATTTTTAATTGAAGAGTAAGAGTCACAATCTTTGTATCAACTTTTAATTCAAAGCTAACATTTGTCAGACTATCATTTGAATATCCAATAATTAATTTCAATATTTAGAAACAACTTTAAAAGAAAAAGAATTTTAGCAACTGAAAATAAACAATACACAAATAGAAAACTACAAAAATTATCACGTGTATTTATTAGTGTTTTAAGCTACTTAAAAGAATTTTAATGATACCCCATGTTGAAAAGGAATAAAAAGTCCACATTATGGATGCATAGAAAATGACCTTCATTGTTAAGAAATGCAGGTTGGACCTTAGTAAACTCCTGATAAAGGAAAAAAAGTTCCAAATAACACAACCTTCATGATTAAACTGTATTTACATGATCACCAAAGTAGTCTAACGTTACTAATGTTTGTAAAGTGTCCCCACAATTGATCCATGTGGAAAAGTCATATGTTAACAAAACAACAGAAATAATATCATGATTTGGGGTGTTAACTATGGCCCATCCTGTACATCACTTAATTATTCAATTATGTCTAAGTTTTTATGTGGATGAGAGATTTCCATATTGGACATGGAAGTATGGTTTGGCAGTTTTGAGCAGAATGGAACTGAAACAGAAAAAAATTAACAAAATATTAGAAAATATTTGGACTTGTTTCATATTTGAGTTATCATTTAAATCTCATCACATGCCTGTGACTTTTGTCATATGCCTACTAATCATGCATGTGTTGGTAAAAATTTGTTTGTTAATTCTTGGAAGTTTCAGTACTGGCAAAATTTTCTGCTCTCACTTATGCATTTATTAATGAACTTGCAACCAAGATTGTTCACCCTTTTCATAAGTTTTGGTAACAAGTTCAGAACTTATATTTGAAGTCTATAATGTTAAAAAATGTAATATATTTTAATTTGTTCAGTTATATTAACACCTAATCGTATAGTAAAATATGTCTTGAAATCTAGAGAGTGATTTAGCTACCAGTTTAAAAAGGATTAAATTAAATTCTTCACTGTATTCCATTGGTTCTCATTCAATTAACTGAAAATGAAATGCAGGTTTTTCCGTACTTATGTTTTTTATTGAATTGTCTTTTAGTTTGTTTTAAAAATATTCAGTTTGCTGTGAGAAGAACTGAATGGATTATAGTAGTTGTTATTGTTTTAAATTGATTGTGAATTGTTGACATGTTTTGCAACATGTAATTCGTCCAGTAATCCACCCAGGTGATTCGTCCATGAAATTTTGTAGTTTTGTTTATATATTGAGTTTTTATTACTTTTAAAGTACTTCAAGCAAATAACTTTTGCCATAGTTATAGCTACATAATCTTGTATTACAATTATTACCTTCAGTAAATCTCTGTCCATATGTTCTTTCTCATAAGATATTGGTTTCAAAAATTAAAATAAGTTTATTATCTTAATTCCATCCAAACAAGAGAATTGATATTTTTGTGTATCTTCTTCAATTATTGATCTTCATATGCTTGCTCTGTTGTGGTATTGAGGGATAAAGTTAATGATTGGAGCTAACTTTGCTCGTAATAAACAACACAATTTACAAATAGACAAAAGAAAAAAGTAAATATTCATAAATAGTTTAGAGCGAAACATGTCTTTCATAGTGGTGTCCATTTGAATAGTGGCAAAATTACAACCACAATATCACACTTGAAAGCTAATTAAGCACTTCATTTGGAATGAGATTATAAATTACTACAGTGGCCTGTAAGTGGTACTGTTCATTTAAGATATTTTGCCATTAGATACGTGCCATCTGTGTATTCTGGAAAACCATTTTATCTTTTAATTATTCTGCTGTAACAGTGATTAATTCTTATGTTCAATATGCACAGAGAAATAAGGTAGTTTGGAGGTGTTTGTATAACAGTAGTGTATAATAACGAAAGTTTCTGTTGTATAGATAGTGTATAAACTGATTCTACAAACAAGATTATGTCAAAACTAATACGAGTTATCCAAGCATTTACTCTTCTACGATCAGATTTTCAAACTGTGTAAAAGATTTAAAGAATAAAGGCAATTTTAAGCTCTAAAAAAGTTGCAATGTTTTTTTAAACCTCAAATACGTGGATAAAAATATAATACCTGTAATTTTATTTTTATTTGGAATTTATTGTAAACTTTAATAATACCACCTTCTTTTCTCAAGAGAAATTAAGTTGAGAGATTTTATCTATAAATTAACCCATCTCTGGAATCCTTCTATGAAACATTTCAAGTAAGTCGTTTCTTAGGTAAGAACAAAACTATACACAGTATTCTAAGTGAGGCCTAACTAGTGATTTGTACAGAGAGAAATATGCATCTCCTGACTTGTAAATAATATGTCTATACATAAACCCTAAAATTTTATTAGCTTTACTACTGGCAAGAGAGTTTTGCTTCGATGGCTTGATGCTTGTCTTCAGTCGTACTGTTGAATGGGTTCTTACCGATATTAATCGCTTGATCCAAATTATGACAACACAAATGCATTACCTTGCATTTATTGTAATTAAAGGTAATTTACCAAATATTTGTCTAACTTACCAATTGATCTAAGTCATTCTGTAGTACCTAAACGTCTTCAATACAGCTAAAAATGTCCAAGAGTTTAATTTCATCAGTAAACTTTACTATTTATTCTCCTATCAATATCATTAATTATAAATAAGAGCAAAGGTCAAACACGAACTCATGACACACCAAACTAGTAACAAGGATCCAATTTAACTAGATACCGTCAATAACAACCTTTTGATTTCTCCCAACGTTGCAATTAACTATTTTTACTCCAACCCCTAATGATGTGATTTTTTTTAAAATAGTCATTTGTGTGGCGTCTTATCAAAAAGCTTTGAAAATCTAAGTAGACCAAACCTACACTCTTTCCTTCTTCCAGGTAACAAATAATGTCCTGGATAAAATCTAACAAAGTAGTAAGACATGGTCCCTTTAGTGAATCCATGTTGGCTTTCATTTATAATACTTCACTAATTAGTTTTGTATATAGAATTTTTCGCAATACAGAAGTAAGACTGTAATTTGACAACTCTTATCGCCCCCCCCCCCTGAAAAATTAGTGTAATATAAGCAACTCTCCAACCATCGAGCGCCTGCCCATTCTCCATTTGCCTATTAAACGTGAAAGATAGGGGCTTTTATATCTGATCCCCATTAAAACCCAGGGGAAACCTCTTACTCTGGTGCTTTATCTTCCAATCATGGAGACGTTATAATGTGGCGGCCAATACCGCAACTGGTTGTTAAAGAATATCCCAAGAATTGGTGGTGTTGGCTGGCTGCCTTCTCTGTAGTCTATCATTTTAAGTTCTATTGGGGGAGAAGAAAAAATGGCAGTTTCTGTGAGACACTTTTAGTGGGGTGTATTAGCACATACAGTGAAACCTCGTTAATCCTCACACATTTCTAGTGAATAAATCTGTCTAATCAGTCACTTTGAATAGAAGAGACATATAGTAATAGCATGCATCAACGATCAGTAAGTGTAAAGGTTCAAATTAATCAGCTGACAGCGGTTGTAAGCTTTTAATGATCTCATTATGCCAGCATTCACAGGCTGTATCACGGACGTGGTTTTTGTGGTACAGTGCTACATTAGACAACTCTTGTTAGCATTCCCAGTCTATAACTGACGTGGTTTTTGTGGTACAGTGTTATATTAGACAGCTCTTGCCCGTATTCACAGGCTGAATCTCCACACGATGTCGGACATGATAAACAGCAGTCTATATAGACGTATTTCCAGTGACGTACACCATGTAATGTTTAATATAATTTTTACTCAAGTGTTAACATTGGGTACTTGTAACGATCCTACTGAGAAGTGAATCAAACTCACAAATTTAACGGCAATTTTTAATGGAGTCATGTGATGATAAAACAAATTTAAGGTTATTTTGCATCACTACCTATTGTAATTTTTCATAAATGTACTCTGCATATGTTTTTTAGACACCTGCATCAACAAGCAAAGCTGTAGTTATATTGTTTTCCCACCAACTATATACTATAACATATAAGGATAACAAGGGATCCGTTGGTCCATCTAGTTGTCCCATCCACTAAACTTAAAAACACTGAAAGCCAGCTATTATATTTAAATATTTATCAAGCTTTCCCTTAAATTTACTGTTTCCACCGCATCTGAAGGCAACCCATTCCAAAGGCTAATTACCCTGTTAAAAATATTACTTAGCTTAAGATAACTTCCTACCCTTTAAAAATTTATATTTGTGTCCCCTAGTCCTACTGATCTTATTATCAAGTACGAACACAGACGAGTAGTGACAAGGGATTGCGCCTATAGTTATTTTATTTTTTCCTCTTAACTTTTGTTATTCCAATCTGTATCTTAGATAGAAATTTTGTTTATTACAGGTAGTAGTTTATTAATTTAACAATATAATTCTTTCAACAATACATTTTACTACTAATATTCAAAAGCACACTGTAGAAATGCACGTTATAGATTCAAATATAATTCATTATTTTAACTAGTTGAAGCTACTGTCAGTTACGGTTTTTGTTTTAGTGCAATGTTCCTGAAAAAGCTGTAAAGCGAAACACTGAGTGTCCAGTTAAAGATGAATAACAAATTTGGTGTTATAAGATCGTGTATTACTAGTATTAATTTTTTTTTATACACCAGTATGCAGAAATCAAATAAACTTTCAATTGCCACCTACTGCTTAAAATGTACACTTCAAACCGGAAACTTCGTTGAGGAAGTTGTCAGTGACAGTACTCTTTACGTGGTTTATGTATTTGAGGTTGAGCTTTCGAACTACAACTTGAGTTTGCTGCTGTGTGTATTTTAGCATAGAATGGTATAGTATATTATTAGTAATTATTCTGGATTTCATCTTTAACCTGTAAGGGCTACTTAATTTTTTGAGATCCTAAACATAGTCTTACGGAACAAAATTAATGTAGGCAAAAGTTTGTAGTATTCTATCTCGGTGTCTGAATTGATTATGATATTTTGAGTAAAACTAAAAAAAAAAAAAAAAAAAAAAAAACCAATTCGAAGTTATTCTAACTTTTTATTTTTCTAATTTTTGTTATACCAATCAAATCTTACTTTACTGAACTGCTCCCAGTATTTCAATTTAGCAACCATATTTAAAAGTAATTTTAAATGCAGTAATTGGGCCTATTTGCTTTGCTCGTATTACTGTAGACTGTAGTGTATCACACTTGTAAGTTGTATTATTATAATATCAGTGACCAGTCGTAAATGAGAGTTAATTAAAATGATTTCATACATTAATTATACATTAGTTAAAGATTTAAGCTTTATATATACATTTCTTATTGGCTATTCATATTTTACTTACTTTATTTGTGTTTATTATTTTCAACATAATTAAGGACAAGAATCACTCTAAATTGTTTTGCTAGTTTTGACTTAAACACACCATGACAATCAGAAGATTCTCATGTTGAGAGTACATAGATGTCACACAGTTTATCTTCAGTACCTATGAAAGTTAAAATATTTCATTCAACTTGTAATTTGAAGTTTTGGGTGTGAAGTTTATTATTTATTTAAAATCAATACTTCATATAATAAAACTTGCCAGCTATATGTTACTATTTTAAGACTGAATAAGGGTGAATATTGGTACTTGACAAATAAGAACATTATTTTTTGAAATTACAAATAACTTGTAGAATTCAAAGTAGGTTTTTAATTTGATAGACAAGCAACTTGCACTTTTTCAGCATGACTATGTAAAAGAAAAAGAAATACAGTTTAAAATTAATCCATCATATTGCTCAATCTGATGTATCTGTACTCAGCTCAGAAACATTAGATCCAGCTTCTACAGCTACTGTAGTGTTTCTTTTAACACAGTTTATCTAGGTTTAATCTTGTTTGTTTGTTTTATAGGCTCGTTACTTCAGGGAACAGGATATTGATGGTAAGCTTTTTTGTTGTGATTTTTTTTCCTTGTGAATAAGACAGAATTAAACACAACTGTAAGATAATTGCACTGTTACAGAAAATAAAAACTTTAATTAATATCCTCTTTTTGATTATTTAATTAAAATAAATGAAATAATTTATTCCCACTCTCTTCCAGAATTTCGTGATTGTTTTTATCTCAATGCCCGCAGTGGTCAGATACGTAATTTAGATGAGCTTACTCTTATAATGAGGTCACTTGGGATGAACCCAACTATTACAGAACTGAAGAAATATTTTAAAGACAAAGGTATTTCAAAAATTTTGCGTATGTAGTTTCAAACAGACACATTTGTAAGTTGAAAACAGTGGTAATAATCTATGTTTTTGGTTTTTCTAAAAAATCCAGCATAAATACATTTTTTAACCATTATGTGTTTGTTTTATTTACCAAGATTTAAAAAAAAATATTGTAAGTTTGTTAGTTGTACCCTCATTAGAGCAGTAAATGCCTTGTAAGCATTTCAAACATTGGTAAAACCATTATTGGTAAAACCTGTCAATAAAAGATTGGATTGGTATAGAGCACAACTGCAACTTGTGTTAGGTACCTTTTCTAAATTAGCCATTGTTAACAGCTAAAAATATTTGTTAACAGTGAGGGTACCAGACTGACAAAACAATGCATTCTAATTGTTTATAAGTAGAAATGTAAGAAATCTATATTTGATTAGCTGTGCTGATTGCAAAGTTCATTTTTAGTTTCTCTCTAAGTACATAGCTTGCTCTAATTATAACTTAATATTAATCACTGTTATATTGTTAAACTTGCAGTGTTAACATATTAAATACAGAGTGCTAGACACTTTGACAGAGCATGCATTTCTGATAGTTTTAATATTTGTTCTTATTATTAAGTTAGAACATTGCACTGTTGTTCTTGTGACTAAAATTTTGAGAGAATTTCTACCAGTAATTTAGTGTCTTTTTAGCTTTTATTTTATACTTTTTACAGAAAAAACTGTGAAACGTACAAGCTATTTGTGACATATGTACATGCTTTTAAATATATATGTTACCATAGAGCTTATCATTGTAATAATTTATCTTTCTTTTTTGTTTGCATAATTTCTGTAGTCTCTTCACTTTGCTTATGCTAGAATCAAACTATACCTGTAGTAAAGCAAACTTGTGTTAAGATAATCAATAATAAGGAAAGTAAAATCTTTTGTGTACTTGTTATCACAATGTTGAGTGTAAATGTATGTTTATATCAGTGAAGGAAAATGTTATCACAGAGAGTGGTTTCAATGTACTTTATACAATGTTGGTTGCAGCTTTAGATGCTGCACAATGAAATTTTAATCAAAATCTTTGTATATATGTTATTATTATAGGAAAGCTGTATGTATGTTATTACTGTCAAAGAGTTATAAATATATGTATGTTTTTTTTTTACATTTGTTTTAGGTGGAAAGATTTCATTTGCTGATTTTTTGGATATTATGCACACGCACACAAAGAAAGAGAATGTTCCGGAAGAAATAATGAAAGCATTTAGGGCCACTGATAAAGGAAAAAGTGGACAGGTTTCTGCTCGAGAACTGCGACGTATTCTTGTTAACTGGGGGGAGAAACTGAGCTCTAAAGAAGGTATGGTAAACTTGAATTAAAAAAAAGATTTAAGTTGGTTAGTAATGTCATTGGCTTGATCATTGTATGTATGTGTGTGTGTGTGTAATGAAATGTTCAAGAAGGGTGTTCTTCATGACAGTTCTGGTTTGATTATGAACTTTGGCCCTGCAGTAGTTTTTCTTCTATAGGAGGCACAGAGATCAATATTGTCTGCTTCCTCTTTACACACTTTCCAGAGTCCATCAAATGTTTGAGATAAGACTTCCAAGGGCCCATTTGAACAACCCCAAACCACAAAAGTCCATAGTGGATATTGGTATAGCTTGCATGCTGTTGAGGAACTGGTACATTAATTTGGACAGGTGGCTGGATTTTTTGTTTTGACAAAAATCTATTACTGGCATCCAATCCTTACAAAGGTGTTTTCTCATTGTGTAATGGTGTCAGCATAATAGGCTGATAGTATGCAGAGTTAACCTTATTTTTCTCAACTCTCCTGATGTTTAATGTAATATTATAGCTGTAATTTGCAACCACCACAAATTTTGTGGGAAAAATTTAACAATGTAATGTAGCATTTTTATTAATTGCTGTATTATTAGCAGACAGTGAATTTTTGAATCATCAGCAAGACAATAATATATTGACTGTACTTTGTTGGAGACACTTAAGTGGATTTGCACTTGATTGAATGTAATGACATATTTTTGTTTGTCACATGCCAGATACCACTTATATAGCTTTTGGGAGGAACTTGTAAACATGTCTGTTTTGTCATTTTTGTAGACCTAGATTATTTACAGTTCCAACTTAAGCTGCAATGGACTACTGTGTTTTTAGGTTATATCCAGGACTTAACTTTTTATACTTCTTTTGGTGTGTAACTGGTAGCCAGCTGTGGAGTAGTCTATTTTCTTCCCTGCTGGAATCACACCTTTTGTTTTATAGATATGGCTCAACAGTAGATATTCCTTTCTTTAAAAACCTTAAATTTTATCTTGCAGGCTTTCATCTTCACAGAATTGGAGACCTTTGCATTGGAATGTCCTGTAATATAACAATTCAAGAAAAGTTAAATTTTAAGCAAATTGTATTTGCATTTTAGTGATCCCCAACAGAGGCTGTGGGTTCGTTCCTGGTATTGAAAAGTTGCTATATCAGACTATTTTAAATTCTAAACTTGAGTATTGGAAGGATTATGTGACAGTATCTTTTTAAGTCTTTCAAACATTTGTGTATTCTTGTAATTTGAAATAGTAATATTTATCAAAACTGTAATGTGTTTCAGTAAGGATAAAAATATTTTACATGTGTTGTTTCTTTATGTTATTAAGTTTCTTGTGGTTGTTTCGGTTATCAGGTAAGCAAGAGATTTTACTTAACTCACTTCTGTATTAAAGCTGATATTTGTACAAATTTAAATTTTAACTTAGTCACTTCTCTACTGCAGCTGGTATTTGTACAAATTTACATTTTAACTTTGTCATTTCTATATTGCAGATGGTATTTGTACAAACTTACATTTTAACTTAGTAATTTCTCTACTGCAGCTGGTATTTGTACAAACTTACATTTTAACTTAGTCATTTCTATATTGCAGATGGTATTTGTACAAACTTACAATTTAACTCAGTCACTTCTGTATTAGAGCTGGTGTATTGTTTTTGGTGTTATCTGTACTTTTCCATGACAAATGTGTGTATATTTTATAGTGGACCGCATCTTCAGGGAAGCCAATATATCTCCAAATGGGTATGTCAGATATGAAGATTTTGTTCGTGTTGTTTGTGCTCCAGTACCAGATTATTACTAATTTCTTGTGTATTTAAAGACTTGCATGTAAAAAATTTATCATGTTCAAAATTTTGTTTATCAAGAATTAATTTATGGTTTTATGTGGTTGTGGAAAACTGTGATTTTCTTCTATTATGATTAATGAAAGAAAAATAAATCTTGATTTTGAATATTTTTTTTAAGTATTTAATATATTTTTAATTGAAAGATCTGTTTAATATAAATATTTTTATACTGAGTTTATTAACAAAAGAAAACCAATATTAATAATGATGTCTGCCTCACTGCATTTCTTTCAGTGTAAATTTGATGTGATTTATGCATTTAATAATTTGTCTGATGTTTTGTCAAACTTTTATATAGTGTTCATATTTCAAAATATTGATGAACAAATATGTATGTATTTTTGGGATAAATCAATAAATAATGAAAGCATGTTATATATTTTGTGTGTGTGTGTGTGTGTTTTGATGGTGCAAGTAGAAGTTTTGAGATATCCTTTATCTAAACTGTTGATATTACACTACAGTTTAGATAAAAGACAACTTAAAAGCTACTGATATTACATTGTTGCATTTAAGTTCTCCTTTATCTAAACTGTAGTGTCATATCAGTAGCTTTTAAGTTGTCTTTTATCTAAACTGTAGTTTAATATCACTGGTTGCTTTTCAGTTGTCCTTTATCTAAACTGTAGTAAAGGACAACTGAAAAGCAACCGGTGATATTGCACTACAGTTTAGATAAAGGACAACTTAAAAGCAACTGGTAATATTACACTACAGTTGAGATAAAGGACAACTTAAAAGCAACCGGTGATATTACACTACAGTTTAGATAAAAGACAACTTAAAAGCTACTGATATTACACTAAACTGTAGTGTAATATCACCGGTTGCTTTTCAGTTGTCTTTTATCTAAACTGTAGTGTAATATTACCAGTTGCTTTTAAGTTGTCCTTTATCTAAACTGTAGTGTAATATCATCAGTTGCTTTTAAGTTTCTTTTATCTAAACTGTAGTGTAATATCAGTAGCTTTTAAGTTGTCTTTTATCTATACTGTAGTGTAATATCACCGGTTGCTTTTAACTTGTCCTTTATCTAAACTGTAGTGTAATATCAGTAGCTTTAAAGTTCTCCTTTATCTAAACTGTAGTGTAATATCATCAGTTGCTCTTAACTTGTCCTTTATCTAAACTGTAGTGTAATATCAGTAGCTTTTAAGTTCTCCTTTATCTAAACTGTAGTGTAATATCACCGGTTGCTTTTAAGTTGTCCTTTATTTAAACTGAAGTGTAATATCAGTAGCTTTTAAGTTGTCTTTTATCTAAACTGTAGTGTAATATCACCGGTTGCTTTTAAGTTCTCCTTTATTTAAACTGAAGTGTAATATCATCTGTTGCTTTTAATAGTTCTCCTTTATCTATGTAATATATCACTAGTAGCTTTTAAGAATTATCCTTTATCTATACCATAGTTTATCACCAGTTGCTCAAATATCATATTAGCAGTTTTTTAAATATGAATAAAAATCAAAATATTACTTTAAAGTCACTGTGAGAATTTTAATAATGTACTAAGTAGTGAAGATAATATATTGCCAGAATTTAATATTATTGAGATTTTAAATTTGATATTCTTTAATACAAACAGACATTATTTGATTAATTTTTTCATAATTATAAGAATTTCCAAAATATGTGTTATAATTATTTTAATTGAAAGTAATTATATACAGTTTAACATAATTTGAAATCAACATAGAAATATGTTAGTAGAATATATGTGATTAGAGAAGATAAAAATTTTTAGTATTAGTTTACTTAAAAGTTGCCACTAGAAACAAAACCTTTAATAAAAGGTAAACAGGACTTTGTACAACAACAGGAAGGTGTCAGTTACCAAACTTTGATTATAACCTACACTTTAAAAAGTTTCTTCACCATTCAAGTTGCTTAACACTTACGATAAGTCATTGTCTGTTGGATAATTTTAATTAAGGCACTGTTTATTATATATTATTGAATTATATTTATGACGTTTCAACTTCGTGGATATACAGTTTACAAATTCATAAACAAGAGATGAATGAAATGGAACGAAACTGTTAAATATCTAAAGACCATTTCTCCAGCCAGTCATTAGTTATATGGGCATCATCCAAAAGTGTCATTCAGTTGAACCAAACGGTAAGGCTGATGAATATTTCCGAGAACAAGTTAATATTTTCTTATCTGTGTTACTCTGCCTCCCCAATGGCATAGCGGTATGTCTGCGGACTTATACAGCGAGAAACCGTGGTGGGCAGAGCCCAGATAGCCTTTTGTGTAGTTTTGTGCTTAATAACAAACAACAACATCTGCTTTACTGAATGACTATATTTCGTTAAGAAACGACAGAACTAAAAATATGCAAAAGAATGCACGTTGTTAAACTATGAACAGCAGATGACACGTGGGTCAAAGATCAGTTACGATTAAATATCAAATTAATCCGAAAGGCTCTCCCTACACTTCTATTTACTTCAGGTCAGCGTGACTGTATTTATTGAAGAAACTGATGACCTCAGTTTTCGACATTTCTGCTGACACCATCACGTCTGTTGGAGAATATTGAGACTTTGGCCTTTGAGACGAAAATATCCTGTTCTGCACACGTAGTATGTTTCTTCAGAGTCATATAAATACTGTTCGAGAAAATTAAAGAGGAGAATTGGCACGAAGTTACCTCTTGATAAAGCCTGGTAAAGGAGAATTAAGGCTCTTCAAAAATTTTATTTGTTAGATCCATGACATCTTGCTGCTTTTGATATTCTTGAAATGTCAACGGATTTACTGCCAGTCTCGTAACGATAGTAACTAACTATATGTTACTTTGTATAGTTTTAGTTGTCGCCAATCTCGTTGTTTACACCCCACCCCTTCCATAATGTAGCACATACCCCGTATAAAAGGTCATCTGCATGCATGAATGAATGTACGGGATATATCACGTGCCTTTTGGCGCTACTTGAGCATGGTTTTCATGTTATTTTTCGCTCTCAAGGAATTATTTCAGCGATAAATATAAAAAAAAAAACTTTTTTTAACATCTTGTGTCATTATCAGTCTCTCAAATGTCCAGTGTTCTGTAAAATATATATGTACCACTAAACGTCGGTGTGTTATAATTAGTTTTGTAAAAGAGATCCTTGACAACTATAGCACCAAAGTACACTTTTTCAAACGTATTGTCATATTTAATAGATCTAACATATTAGCGACTAAAGCCTTAAACATTTTATTTTTAACCTGAATTCATGTCCCTCCGGTGGCAAGTCTACGGATTTACAATGCTAAAATCATGGGTTCGATTCCCCTCAGTGGACACAGCAGATAGTACAATGTGGCTATTTGATAAAACACACACACGCCTAAATTCGTGAGCTTCCATAGGTTATCCAACTACCGTGTTTACAGTATTACGAGCTCAAGCTAACATAATCCAGTTCTGCTTAAGAATTTAACAGTTTAACTTAGTGCTTCGTAGCAGTGCCTAGCAAATCTCTAAACAAACAAAAAGTCAATAAATTTTAAATTAACTTGTATACAATTTATAAAAATTAATAAACATATATTGTGCAAAACCAGAGGTGTAGCAGTGCCATTTGTGAGGTTCTCTTAATCCCGATCAAACAAGACGTGTAGCAGAGCCAAATGCGAGACCTACTAAATCCTGATCAAACCAGATGTGTAGCAGGGCAACTGTGAGGTACAGTGAATCCTGAACAAACAGAGATTTAGCAGAGCCAACTGTGAGGTTTAGTGAATCCCAATCAAACCACACGTGTAGCAGAGCCAAATGCGAGATATACTAAATCCTGATCAAACCAGAGGTGTAGCGGCGCCAACAGTGAGGTTCGCAGAATCTCTATCAAACAAGACGAGTGATATTTTCTGAATCCTGATCAAACCAGAGGTGTAGCAGGGCCAACTGTGAGGTTCACTGAATCCCGACCAAACCAAAGGTGTAGCAGATTAAATGATTCACGAATCACTCAAAAAACATAAACAAATATTCAAGACTAATTTCGACAGACCACGTTTGTTATTCTCAAAGGAACCCAACCCTATTTGGAAGTCGCTTTTCTCCAGTTAGAACTTTTGCACTCTACTGCCGTTAGTGAAACTTAATACTTAATTTCTCCAGGGTCGTTTTGAATCTGAACATACAAAACGCTGAGAACAATTTTAACCCCGACCCTTGAAAATGACAAGCTAGGCCTGTCGAAATTAGCCGGGAGTTTGTATATGTTTCGTGAATTCTTTAATCATTTGTGCATTATTATACTGGTGTACTATTATTGTTTTTAGGATTCTTTTGGTTGACCAGTTTGCTTTTCTTTTCTTATGAATGATAGTTGGAAAATGATATTAAACTTGTTTGTTGTGTTACACATTGAAAGTCTGTGGATTTCAAAGGCGTAGTAATCTTAGTTGAACTAAATAATTTTTGTTAAGAATTTGCTGTGAGATTATTGACCTACGAACCGGGGGTGAAGGTTAGAGGCCTCGTTTATCACGTAGAGTTATCAAGTTTCGTTCTACTGAAACCGGAAATAATGCGTTTTACTCGTAACTGTCATAATTTGTTTTTTTCTTTTCCACTTATTTCCTTAAATATTTAAATGTACCAAATTAACGTCCAATGATCTGTTTTTTGTCGTTGGGTTTGAGTTAATTGTTCAATGATCTTTTTTTTCTGTTTTTTGTAATCTTTCGTTGATTTAATTTATCTTTGTTCAATGATATCTCTGTGAAGCATGTTATTTTAAGTTAATACTCTCCGATGATCTTCGTTTGTGGTTTAGGTTAATAATTTCAGATGACCTTTATTTAAAAACTGATATTAGACATTAAGGTCATCCTGTAACATTTATTTAAAACTGATATTAGACATTAAGATTATCCAGTGACCTATATTTAAAAACTGATATTAGACATTGAGATTATCTGATGACCTTTATTTAAAAACTGATATTAGACATTAAGATCATCCTGTGACCTTTATTAAAAACTGATATTAGACATTAAGACTATCCAGTGACCTTTATTTGACATTGATATTAGACATTACATTATCTAGTTACCTTTATTTCAAAACTGATATTAGACATTAAGATTATCCTATGACCTTTATTTAAAAACTGATATTAGACATTAAGATTATTCCTGTGACCTTTATTTAAAATCTTATATTGGACATTAAGATTATCCAGTAACATTTGTAACTTATCATTGCTTTTATGGTAAGATGGCGGACTGATCTCTATATGAGATACAGTTCACCTATTTGCCACGTGCCTTGTCAGTATTAAAGTGAATGTCTTTTTTCATGACATATTATGTTACAATAAACTCAATAAAGTATTGTTTTTAGTCATGATATCAATACATTACTTTACAGTCAGTTTAGTAAAGTATTGTTTGTGGTCCACAGTAACGTGCAACTTTAATCAGTTTATTAAAATAGTTTTGTAGTTATGACAGTAACGTGTGGCTTTGGTCATTTTATTAAAGTATTGTTTAGTAGTCATGACAGTAACCTCTGACTTTAATCCATTGATTAAAATATTGTTTAGTAGCCATGACAGTAACGTGTGACTTTATACTTAGTTTATTGAACTGCTATTTTATAGTTAGTTTAATATTTTTGTGATTAACGTAGTGAAGGTAACTGCTCACATATTCTTATAATTCATTACAGATTAAATATTTATTACGGCCATAACTCGTTGTCATTACCTATTGACTGTTTTTACTGGTCACAAGTCACTTCAAATTAATTGTTTCTACTGAACACAAGCCATTTCAGATTAACTGTTTACACTGTCTATAATTCTCCACAGATTAATTGTTTCTAGTGAACACTGAACACGAGTCACTTCAGATTAAATGTTGCTAATAAACACGAGTCACTACAGATTAACTTTCTCGACTATCCATAATTCACTACAGATTAACTGTTGCTAATGGTCAAAAGCCATTTCAGATTAATTTTTTCTGCTGATCACAAAGCACTCCAAGTCTGTTTATATTGTGTACAGCTCACTACAGATATGCTGTTTCTTTTTGTTATAACTTACCTCTAGTTACTACAAATTAACTGCTTATTTTAACAATATATTTTGAAATAACTATAGTTTAAGTTTTTTTTATAAATATGATATATACAACTCTTTTCTGTTCCGGCTTTCTTTAAAAATATTTATTACCTTTTATTTTCAAAATGTTAGTATAAATTAGTTTCTTGACATAGTAGATTAATGTCAAAAGCTTTGATTTTGTTGATTATGTTATTTCGCAATAAAAATAAACGAAGGGTTGTTCTGATGAAGAACAAACTGTGAACTACAGTTGCTAACTTCAGTTTTCCCAAGTCCACTTCCCACAAGGGGATTGGTTAACTGTTATACAAGGACGTGGACGCATGACACGACTAGATCATACTTTCTAGAGGGTTCGGACTGACTACGTAAAGTCTATGATGAAAGCTCTTAGAGCTGTTCACTGTACAACTATTTACGTTACGTTGATCAGTTGGTTGCTACGCGGTTGTTCTAGTCATGAAGCTCCCGATGCTACGTTATCTAATCATCCAACTGCCGAGTCTAAGAATGATAAAGTAGACCACCGTATTTTCATAAAAGAAATATTTCACAAATACGGACATAATGGTGTAATTACATTCGAAGGTTTTGAACATTTGTTAGAAAGTCTAGGTATTGGTCAAATTGTAATACATGACCATGATTTAGAATCGCATAGAGAGGAGAATTACTTTTTTCGTGAAAAACATCAAAACCATAATCATATTGCCAGAAAAAATGGACGTTTAGAGACTAGCCATAGTCACGAGATCACAGATGTTGATAGCAGTGCTGTTAAACCTTCAGCTCCACAAGGATTAGTAGTGTCAGCGACAGGCGAGAAGTGGTCCAACAACTCTGACAGCGACGGAAAGAGAAAGAAGGAAAGGAAAAAAGATGAGGGTTCGTACACTGCATAACAAGCAGGATTTTTATTTATTTACATTATTAACTCGCTAGAAATAGCATTGTTGTTTGTAGTGTATTTAAATACAATTAACGTTAAATCAGCTGTTTACATTATTAACTCACTAGAAGTAGCATGGTTCTTTGTAGCGTATTTAGGTATAATGAACGTTAAATCAGCTGTTTACATTGTTAACTCACTAAAGGCAGCATGGTTGTTTGTAGTGTATTTAAATACAATTAACGTTAAATCAGCTGTTTACATTGTTAACTCACTAGAAGTAGCATTGTTGTTTGTAGTGTATATGTGTATAGTTAACGTTAAATCAGCTGTTTACATTGTTAACTCATTCAAGGCAGCATGGTTGTTTGTAGTGTATTTAAATACAATTAACGTTAAATCAGCTGTTTACATTGTTAACTCACTAAAGGCAGCATGGTTCTTTGTAGCGTATTTAGATATAATGAACGTTAAATCAGCTGTTTATACTGTTAACTTACTAGAAGTATCATAGTTATTTGTAATAAGAATGTGAAGAAAGAATTTGTGTTGATATTCTACAGTAAAAGACACAGAACAGGATGAGCTCTTACCTAACATCACCAGTCTGTACTCGGAGGAAGAAAATCTGGCCAGTTATCCCATATATACAACCATTGTGACTGGACAAAAGGTCGGTGAAAAAAACCTAGCCTGTCGAATTTCTAATGTGTACATAGACTTTAAGCTAGCAAATATCTGATTAAATTAATGTTTCCCAGAGTGAGATGTTAAATTAGTTCAATCTGGGAAAGTTCAGAGAAGAACAATACTGCTCAGAGTTAGATGCATTAAAACGGTTTCTACTAAGAAAGTTCAGAGGAGAAGACTAAAGTCAGAATAGTTTAATGCAAGTCAGATCTGAATAGGAAAGTATTGCCAAGATAAAGATGTATTGGAGCCCCCCAGTGGCACAGCGGAATGTCCGCGGACTTACAACGCTAGAAACCGGGTTTCGTTACCTGTAGTGGGAAGAGCACAGATAGTCCATTGTGTAGCTTTGCGCTTAACTACACACAAACAAACAGACTTATTGGTATAGTTTAAGGTAAGTCAGATCTAAATAGGTTATAACTGTGTAGAAAAAGATATATTATTAGAATATAACGTATGACGACGTTAACAACTGGAATAGAACTTTAACAACTGCTGATAAATATACCTATCTCATATTTCTATTTTTAAAACTTAAGTGTTATCTGTCTCTTTTAGGGACTGTTTTTTTTTGGAATTCCTTCTTTAGATATTTAACTAAGAGACTGTCACATCGCATCTAAAGTGGATCTAATATCCTGTTGCTTAATAACACGTTATTCTGTAAATAATAAACACGTGCAGGAAAAGAAACCCCACCTGATCCTTGATCTACATGTTCGTAACATGAAGGTGACGTGGTAAACCCCGCCATGTCGCTGGCCTTTAGGTGCGAGGTAATCCTTTAAGGAATTAAGGACGAACGGCACATGGTTTGTGAATTTAAATGACAGCGAGCACTTATCATCTTCACGTGTTTTAAGATAAAATATAATTGTGTAGAGTAGAAGAGCTCCAAAAATTAGCCCTTTTTACCTAGCTGTGTAGTCGATTTCAGGAATTGATCCGTATCTATTCGTGTGTATTAGATAGTTAAGTAACTGTAGGTATTATATATCATATTAGTGTACAACTTTTAATTCGCGTATTTGTCTTTTAATTACAAGTAAGTTGTTTATTTTAATTAATCTATAATATTTTACAAATTATTATTCGATAATTACATTAATTCGATTTACTATTTATTATTTTTTGTCTTTATATGTTTTTGCTATCTCAGTGTCTGTGCCATCTTGCTACTCGACTCTCAAGTTAGAGGAACGTGTGATGTAGTAATTTATCTCGTATGTTAAACTATTCTAGACTTACAATGTCCGACTCTTTCAATGGTCATTGGACGTTGTTAGGCAAGAAGGTTATGTAAAGTTTTGGGTATACCAATGTCAGGCTTAGCAAGGGCAGAGAATCGGTGGTAGTGCTTGATGCAAAAGTTTTTGTGTCTTTTGTAACCAAGTTATGTTTTATTCAACGTTAGTGTTATAAACAACATTGATTAGATTGTTTACTTTATACAATTTAGATATCTTTACACAATAATACATTAAACGGAAGAATAGCATACTAAATTAGCTAAATTCATTACTGACTTAATGCTTAGTTCTAATTTATGTAGAATTATTGAATTTATTAGGAGATAATGATAAATGTTTAAGTGTTTGTTCTAGATAATAATATTTGTATTTGTGTAGGGTGTATAAACCTACTGAACAAAAGTCGAAGGACTAAGTATTATTATATTTACTTACACCAAGGAAAATAACAATAGTTTCCTTTCTTTTACAATTTAATTTAACGTATTTAACTCGGTTTACACTAACCAATAGTTGCAAGATTGTACAACAAGAAGTATTAAAAACTTTATTAACTTTAACGTGTCTTAATGAGGACTTAACGATAACACTTAACTGTAAACTTAATGTGACTATGTATATGAGGACTTAACGTCAACACTTGACTGTAAACTTAACAGTCGACTGTAAACTTTAATATGACTAACGGACTTAACAATACTGAAAAACTTCAAATTTATTGTTGGATGTGTTAGTTGAAGCTACTGGAATGAATATTTTAGAATTTAAAATGACTGGAGTTTTGTTTTATAAAATATCCTATCTGCCTCTTTACACATGTACACTACTCTATACATAGGTGTTTAGAAGGGTGAAAAATTTTACTCAGGAAGTACCCTGTTACGTTATTAACCAGTTTCATCCTGCACGTTACTGTGCAATCACATAAAAAGCTCTGACTTCTGTCATCAGGTAATTGCAGGAAATATCTGTCTACAACACTAAATGATACAAGCGGGTTGTGTGTGAACAAGTTTTATTTACCAGTAATATACAGTAGATTGACTTATATAAGTTCTGATGGGCACAACGAATATCCTTAACGTACGTATTGAACTTGCAAATTGGAACGTGTGCATCTGGTGTTTATATTTATGCGGAAAACTTTGGTGCATAGGTGCATTTAGTGTAGAAATGACGGTTGATATGGTGTTGTTTAGTCTAGGAATGACAGTTGATGTGGTGTTGTTTAGTCTAGAAATGACGGTTGATATGGTGTTGTTTAGTCTAGGAATGACAGTTGATGTGGTGTTGTTTAGTCTAGAAATGACAGTTGATGTGGTATTGTTTAGTCTAGAAATGACAGTTGATGTCGTGTTGTTTAGTCTAGGAATAACAGTTGATGTGGTGTTGTTTAGTCTAGAAATGACAGTTGATGTGGTGTTGTTTAGTGTAGAAATGACAGTTGATGTGGTGTTGTTTAGTGTAGAAATGACAGTTGATGTGGTGTTGTTTAGTGTAGAAATGACAGTTGATGTGGTGTTGTTTAGTGTAGAAATGACAGTTGATGTGGTGTTGTTTAGTGTAGAAATGACAGTTGATATGGTATTGTTTAGTCTAGAAATGACAGTTAATGTGGTATTGTTTAGTCTAGAAATGACGGTTAATATATAGAAGTAGAAAGCACGGAAAAATCTTCTACTAATATTTTCGAAACACTTCGAATTAAAATATGCTCATTACACAATTACTTTATCTTAAATCAGCCAATTTGTAATTAAATTCAGTCTTGAAGTGAACTTTTAAGGCTTATGAATGTTCCTATTAAAATTAGAATGTAACAACGCGGGAATATTGGAATCTTTAAAATCTCTGTTCGTTTTTACAGTCGTTTACAGTAAATGTAGGGATGTTTCAAATCTCTGTACATGTTTACAGTGTTTTACAATAAGTATATTGGTATGTTTTGAATCTGCGTACATATTTACCGTGTTTTACAGTAAGAGTATTGGCATGTTTCAAATCTATGTTCATGTTTCAGTGTTTTACAGCAAATGTTGGCATGTTTCAAATCTATGTTCATGTTTCAGTGTTTTATAGTAAATGTTGGCATGTTTCAAATTTATGTTCATGTTTCAGTGTTTTACAGTAAATGTTGGCATGTTTCAAATCGTTGTTCATGTTTCAGTGTTTTACAGTAAATGTTGGCATGTTTCAAATCGCTGTTCATGTTTACAGTGTCTTACAGCCACAGAAATCCTACATTCTTTTGATATAAGCTCAGTGAACAGTTTGATCACCCCTGTGGACTTTCTCCATCTTTGTCCAGCTATCGTCTACGAACTAGAGCAGCGACATTGCAAAGAATCAGTTTTATGGCATATGTACGATCGTGAAGAAGAAGACGTACCCATCACTCACAATTCTTATGGTGAGTACAATTTTACTAAGATAACACAAAGGCTGATTATGTTATAATAAATCGATTTTGGAACCTCACCACGCGTTGCAGTCCACGTGTGATAATACTTTATCTGACGAGTACATTTTTTACAATAGCCTTGCAACGTAGTTTTCACTGCTAAAGGCTCTGTTGTAAGTCTGTCATGTCAAAAGCATACCACCCCATTCTGCATGCTTTTTATAATCGATGGTTTCTGAGCGCCCGTTTCAACAGTCTAATCGTACAGAAATGTTTAAGCACAGTGTCCGGCAACTCTTGACTGGTATGTTTCGTGTGGAATAACATGAAAATCATTTCATTCTCCACCTGTTTGACGTATGTTACAGTTGAAGAGGGGTGTGCCGTGGAAGTGACTTGTGTCACTTTTCCAGATGAAGATCATTCTTCGTCATGCTGCATAGTGTTGCTTGGGGTACGTGGACGGTTTTTTTGCCTTTGACTTTTGTGTTCGTGGATTCTAGCCTGTTACAATACGCCGAACTTTACTTACCATGGCTGAGATACAACTTGTTACAGGTATCTTTCTAGATGTTTTCGGGTGATCAAGTTTATCCAAATTCCTTTATTTTCCAGTAACATTAAGTACAAGACATGTCCTCTTCTTGAAAATTCTAAATCCCCGATATGAATACATTGTTATGATCAGAGTGTATTAATATTTTCCCTCGGAAAGGGCTATTACATGCTCTTCTCAAAAGTGATCTATTTTTGGTTGTATTAGACAACTTACGGAACGCTAAACAATGTCAAAATATAGTTCTGATATATGACATCCCACTACGACTTTATATCGGTTGTCACGTGACTTGTTGATTTATAATTGTAAATCGTTTAATATAACGTGCTCAACCCTCTGCAATCAATCTTTTTCATACAGTTTTTTTTATTGGGGTTAATTGAGTGCTGGTAGTGGATAAAACACGAAAATAATCAGAAGCTAAACTTGAGTATGCAAAGTTAAAATGTTTATATAAAAATGTTTGGGTCAAATTGGATTTTTCTAACTAAAAGATAAAATTTTCTTTAATTAACACAGTTTGGGCGTATGCGTCGGCTTCAGTTGTGGTAATAAGTCTGTGTGGACTTATAAGCGTTGCTGTGTTGCCTATCATACAGCGGGTGTTTTACCAAACACTTCTTCAGTTCCTGGTTGGTCTTGCTGTTGGAAGCTTGTCAGGAGATGCTCTCCTGCACCTGTTGCCTCACGTAAGTGTAGCTATCTTGTTTAGTTAAACAACTAATCCATACATTGACTAGAATGTTCAACCCTAAAAGTCCATTGTCTTAAGCCTATTGTCAACTCGTACAAGTCTTTCATCCCTTATATGAGAGTATCTATAAACTAGCTTGGGAATGAATGAACAAAATTAATATAAATGGGAAAGGAAACGTTGGATTTCGATTAAGTAGGTCATATGTAATGAGCCTCAAAAGCGTATGTTGATTACAATCCTTATTATAATCTGATTTGCTTATGACCTTCATTCAATCATTGATCAATCCACCACATCTAGTCCACAATCTACGTTAACCATTAATAACAATGCAAACAATAAAACATTATGCCAGGTGAGAGATATTGTGTTGTTATCATTAAATATATACCTGCTAAGACGTTATGCTAGATGTGAGACAGTATTGTTATCATTAAGGACATATCTGGTATTGGTAAGAAGTTATGTTAGATAGTACTAGTAGACTGTTGCTGTCATTAACGACAAACCTGATAAATAGTTTTGCCAAATGGGAGACAATGTTGTTATCAATAAACACATGCATGATAAAACGTTTACATGGCCCCACAACAATGCACGTGTTGAATTACTTGGAAGTTGAAAGGAAACTGTTTTTTGTTGAGTTATTCTAAACCTGAGGTTTAGTGCAATCATTGTTGATGCAGTGTCTAATACTCACCTGGCATTCTTATATTCATCCACGATCCACAAGTCATGCTTCAAACTTTTTTATGACCATTCTCTTTATTTTTAAACTCTTATTCAGTATTAACATATGCTATTATATCTTCATGGGAGTTTGGCAGGTAGACAGTTAGATGTGTGTATTTCCACAAGTAAATGGATGAATGATACAATTAAAAGACTCATTAATGGGACGGTTAATATTTTCTCACTGATAAAAAAAACAAGTTATTTTAAGATGATTTCTTTATTTAGGCTATGGGAGAAGGAAAGTCTCACAGCCACGATAAAAATTTGCCAGATGATGCAAAAGGAGAGTTAGTTTGGAGAGGCTTAGCTGCATTAGCAGGTATTCATGTTTTCTTTTTGGCAGAAAGAGTGCTGAATCTCTTGGCAGATTACAGAAGCATAATGAAGTCCAAAACTAAAAGAAATAAAAATACCAAGGTATTATGATCAAATTTTATTATCTAATATTATAATTATAGCATGGTTATTATTTAACATTAGAACTTGGTTGTTACTAATGTTAGAGTTAAGTATACAACACTATTTTTTAACATTTATAACGTGATTGTTAAGGTTAGGTATACCACACTATATAATATAGTATGTTATCTAACACATAATTGTTAGGGTTAAATATACTATGCTTTATTTAACATTAGAACATGGTTGCTAGGATTAGGTATATAACACTATATTATCTGACATAACATGGTTGCTAGGGTTAAGTATACCTCACTATATTATCTAACATTAGAACATGGTTGTTATGCTAGTGAGAGAACCGCATGTAAAAATATTAGATATTAAAAAAAAAGGATGGGGCCAGAAAGCCCCCCCCCCCCATCACTGAGAAAATAAAAATAGGCCGTCACGGATAGTGTTAAGGATTCTTTAGAAACTTTCAATTAAAAAAGTGTTTTATAATCTTTCAATTAAAAAGTGTTTTATAATCTTTCAATTAAAAAAGTGTTTTATAATCTTTGAACTTAACAAAATTCAAATCTTTATTAATTTCTTCCATACGTAATACGTTAAAAAATATATTTCAAAAAAACGTAAAGTAGAAAAAACAAAAAATAAATAAAATGGATAGTAACAGGTGAAAAACAAAGAAATGAATTATTAGGGAAAGGGGTCCTGTTATATCTGGAGCGAAAACACAAAAATTTATATTTCTTAAAAATTTAAAAATGTATTAAACTAATGCATAGATGATAGATCTATTATCTAACAAATTTTATAAATTATTGGGTAAAATATT